TCTTCTGGTGGAATTGACCTTCAAATCTCTTCACCCCCAACACTTTCACTCGAAATGGAAGTAAACTGGACAATTGTGAAAGAGGAGATTGCTGGAAAGTGAACTTTTCTTCGCTTTCGCATTGCAAAACAACATGATCGTAACTGGGCCAAGCGGACAAAAGTGTGTGCCGAAGAGGTGAGCATAGTTACAGTCAGGAAGAGACGAATTACGACATGATTGTACAGCTGGAAGCGGTGGAGAAAGCCAAGCAGATGAACCATGTGACCAATTACAAACGGGCAGTTAGCCCCTCGACATCGTTTTCCCTCTCCACTTCTGATTGGACGACGCGCTGTCGAGCTGTGATTGGCTCAAACAAAACGGCGCCAGCTCGAATGTTGCAGCCGACACTTTCACTCGACAATTGCGAAAAAAAAGCGCTTCACCGCAAGCCAATCGTTGAAAGATGGCGCGGAGGGAAATGCACGTGACCCATTCAAACGCAACTTTGGCCACACGAGATTGCCTTGCGTGCTTTTCCGTGTCAACTTCTCATTGGACAACAGTCAAGATCAGCTCAAAACAACACACACACACACTGCTAGCCACTCGTCGGCAGGTGGAGTTGAGATGAGTCAGCCGACTGGCCGACCAGCCTGCCAATCTGTCGGCCAATTAGACTTGGTCACCAGGTCTACAAGAGTGGGTCCGGCCATTCGAGCCGGTCGAATTGACCAATCAGATTGGTGCTTGTAGCCAGCTTTGGTCGGCCCTTTCTATTGGCTGTTGGTAGCAGACGAATGGACCAATTGGAAGAGACGGCCCGTTGACTTGTCTAGCCCCGATTAGTCAGCTGGCGGCAAACGGGCCTTTTTCTCCGACCAAACGAAAGCTGTCACTCTGTGCTCTTTGCTCTCTCTTTGTCGGACGTATTTTCTTTTCTTTTCTTTTCCTTTCTTTTCTTTTCTCCTCTCTTCTACTCTTTGCTTTGCTTCTTTTCTCTGTTGGGCCGTCGTCCACTTTGACGAGACGAGTTGAGTTGAGTTGAGTTGAGTTGAGTTGAGTGAGTGAGTGAGTGAGTGAGTCATTCGAAGCAGTTGTAGACAAGAGAGACGAGTCATGGTGGCCACCGAGTTCCTGAGCTACATCAACTCGTTCTCGGCGGTGACGTACGTGGGCGTGGAGGACTTGGCGGATCGTGCCAACTTCCAGTGGAACGTGATCATCTTGCTCATCTGCATGGTGCTGGTGACGGCGCGCCAGTACTTCATGGCGCCGCTCATCTGCTACCTGCCCACCACCGTGTCGGGCGTCAACATCGAGGCGTACATGACCAACCTGTGCTGGGTCGAGGGCACCTACCCCATGAACGTCAGCTCGGGCGTGGCGCGCGACTGGCGACAACTGGAGCCCACGCAAATGAGTGAGTCTTTTATGCTCTCTCTTTCTTTCTTTCTTTCTTTCTTTCTTTCTTTCTTTCTTTCTTTCTTTCTTTCTTTCTTTCTTTCTTTCTTTCTCTCTCACACACAGGAAAGGTACGAGACGAGGCAACTGTTTTATTTCACTTTTGTTCTTTTTTGCTTTTATTCGCATTCTCACTTTGGCTTTTCCCGCTTTTGCCACTTTTCCCTTTTTACTCTTTTGCTGCCTCTTTCGATTCTGCTTTTCCGTCCACTTTGTCTTGACGACTCTTTTATTTCCATCTTCTTCTTCTCTGCTTTTCTCTTCTGCTTTTCCCGCTTTTGCCACTCTTTGCTTTTTATTC